ATATATATATATATATATATATATATAAACTCTCAATCTTCTTTTATTGAATAGCCCCTACAGCAGTTATGATTTTATCTGACCCATTAATGCCATAGCGGCTAAATAACATACAGACTATTAAAAACAAATTTTCGGTCGGTTCGTTAACAATATAAATATTATTACAGACAACATTATATATACAGAGTAATCAAAATTTAGTAAGATACTCATTTTTTAAAAAACTGTTAAAAATTAAAAATTTAAGAATAAGTAAAAATATATACTAAAACTCTTAAATAATATGTTGAACAATCATTTTAGCTTTGATACAATGCTGAGAAGGTATTAATTTTACCATGATGTGTTTTTTTTTTTTGTCTGTTGCCACATTTTCTCAACGTTCACTGGAACGATTTTGATGAAGAATATGTCAAAAGGTCACAAATCGTATCTAATTGAAGTCATTACCCTTAAAAATTGAAAAAAATTACGTCGTTCCCCGTAAATGAGAGAAATTTCCAAAAAAATTATAATTTTTCAAATCGGTAAATTTTTTCACTATTCTTTCTTAAAACTACCACAACTTTTTCAAAAATTAACAAAACAATTCATTTTTTTTTTATTGAAACCTTAGATATTTTCCTTTCATTCGATATTATTTTTTTGACAAGCTAACACTTAATCTGCTCAAAAGGGGGGATTTAAAATAATAACTATTTTTCAAAAACTAACTTTTGAATATGTTCCCGAAATACTGTGTCCTTTAAACATATATCAAATTAAAGCTAATGCCATGTTCTATAAAATGAAATATAAAACTCAATATAGTGGTGTCACAGCACAGTGAAACGTGGCATTGTTGGGTCCAGTATAGATTTAATCTGACAGTGATAAAAATCACTATCATTAGAAACGCTTCGATGCAAATCTGTATATAAAGTTTAATTCTAAAATATTGGTGGATTATTCCAAAAGCTACATGATCTGCTTTTTCCTTATAAATATCCTGATTAAGATAAAGAATGTCGAATGAAAAAGATATACAAATATTATTTTTCAAAAAGAAATTGTATTGATCCATACACTTTTCAATAAATTATAGCATTCTAAAGTTAAAAATGTCAAATAAAAACTCGAGAATTGTCACACAAAAAGAGCATTCGATAGCTATTTTCACCATGAAGAAAAAATAAAGTCCGACATTTTTTTTCCATATTAAATTACATTACATTAGATTTATTTTAAGATATGTATAAGTGTGTCAGACTTTCTGGAACACTTTTAAAAATTAAATTGAAAATATCCTAGTTTCAATACACATGTTTAAAGTTTTTAGTTAAAAAAGTTAATATTCTGTGAATAAGTTGTCATTTTATATCTCCCCTGTGGGCTGATAAAGAGTCAAATGTTCACAAAAGTATACTAAATAATAGGTAAAGACATTAATCATCTATAAAAAAAAAAATTATATTGATATGTTCATTTATAAAAAAGTTATGGCAGTTTTTAGTAAAAAAAATTGAAAAATTTTTGTAAATTAGCGATTTTAAAATTTGTAAGTTTTTGGAGGTTTGTCCCTTTTAAGGGGAACAAGAGAAATTTTTTCAATTTTTGAGGGCGATGTCTTCGACTAGATACGATTTGTGATCTTTTGACGTATTGTTGAAAGAAATCGGATCGGTGAGAGCTGAGAAAAAGTGGTAACAGATACACAAAAAAAAAAAAAATCACATCATAGGAAAACTTTCTCAACATAGCATCAAAGCTAAAAATTATTTTTATTTATTCATTTTTCAAAAAGTTATGGCAGTTTTAAGTATTAAAATATTTCATGTTAAACAATTTTTTTTAATTTGAACTTATATTATTTATTGTAAGCTTTAATTTTACATATGTTTAAAGGACGCAGTATTTCCGGAACATTTTCAAAAGTTAAGTTGAAAAAGTTCTATTTTTTATACAATGTTTTAAGTTTTGAAAACCCTTTATATAAGGGGAAAGTGTCCAATTTTAATAAAAAGTATTTCAAATAAAATACGTATTTATAATATAATTAGAAAAAAAAAATTTGTGCTGATACATACATTTTTCGAAAAGTTACAGCATTTAAAGTTTAAAATTTAAAATCGAAAATGTTAATTCATAAATACCATTTTTTTTACCTCGGCAGCAGTTTGCATGTAGAAGATAAGGTGTCGGGACAAATTTTTTTTCATTTTATAGTACAATACATAAGCTTTAAAAATTAAAAAAAACACATGGTAAAATCAATACCATCTCAGCTTCGCATCGAAGCTAAAAATATTATTAAACAATTTTTTTCTCAAAAAAAAATTTTTTATTCATTTTTTGACAATATCTCTCTTATATTGAGAATACAACATAATTAAAAAACATAAAATATATTTAAAAATACACTAAAAAAACATAAAATGTTATTAAAATATTTTCTATAATACTGAAATGTAAGCGTTTAAAGTAAAAAAATCATTTAATTTTTGTAAAAAACCTAAAATTATTTCACTATAAATAATTAATAAAATTTGTTCAAACTTCATATTTGTTTTAGATCACAGATAATTTTCTCCTTTATAATTTGGTAAAAAATTCGGGACTCTAGCATCAATACAGATCAAATAAAGTAGTCCCGCGCAAAACAGTTTTTATGCAAAATAATGAATTTTTGTCTATCGTAAGGATGGGTAATTCGTGAGTGAGTCAACTCAAAGAATTGTCTTTTTAGGTTAACTGAACGAGCTGAATCATTGTGCCATAGTACTGTGACTCAATGACTCAGTGTGGACTACTGAGAATTGAATTTAGTTTAGAACGTCTTATCAATCATGTGAATTGTGATATATAGATTTAACTTACAGAAGTAGAAGTTTATGGAGCAATATTTGGGTCATCAATCGTCTCTTCTATTACATGAGTCTTTCTATTTAATAAATTTACTAATGGATGCTTAGCTTAATAAGTCTAATTAAATATGAAGTCGAAGAATGATTATTTTTTAATTTTATACGACTAAGTTCACACTTTACATGAATATTATCTGCTTCAAGTTAAAAAAATCCCAAATAACATTTGATTTACTCATTTTAAAATGAAATAAAATACATTTGTAAATTAAATAAAGTGTTTCACTATTTTCGATTTTGTGTACAAAATTTACTGTGATCACAAGAAACAACGTTGACACAATGAGTAAAATTTTTAATAAATGAGACTAGATTATACATAATATGTCAGTTTTTAGAATAATATTCATTTAAGAATAGACCTGTAATTGCATGCAAGAAAATTGCAAAATTCTTTTACCGAATATTAGCAAATAATGAAAAAGTAGATCGTATTTGGCTTGTATACTCTTCAATAAAAGATTGCGTAAAATTTTTATAAATGAAAAATGCCACAGTGATTTGGCAACAGTAGGTATAAGTGACTGGAGACATATGTCAGACAAGTCAATATCTCATGAAAGATCGCAACACCACATTCAGTCTATAAAGTCTTGGTTCGAATTAAAAACTAGAATAGAAATGAATGAAACAATCGATAAAAAACATCAAGCTTTAATCGAAAAAGAACAAAATCTCTGGAAAAATGTACTTATTCAAATTTTATCAATTATTAAATTTTTAGCTTCAAATAATGATTCTTTTAGAGGTTCTTCGGACGTACTATAAACTAAGAGTAATGGAAAATTTATCAGTGTGACAGAAATGTTGGCCAAATTCGATTCTGTTATACTGGAACATGTAAATCGAATTAGAAATAAAGAAACCCATGTTCATTATTTAGGGTATGAAATACAAGATGAACTCATAAAAATAATCATTTGAGTTCATTTATTTATAAACAAAAGTTATTAATAAATATTATTAACAAAAATATAATTGAAAACAATTTATTTTAAAATAAGAAAAAGTTATAACTATTTTTTAGTATTATAATAATTTTACTTAAAGATTATTATTAAAAAAAATTAATTGTGTTATGAACAAATTAAGTAACTAAAATTTTACTAGGTATCCTCGCTTACCAGGTAGCGCAATGGGAAAGCTCTCGTCATGATGGTGAGGTAAATGAGGTTCAAATCCCAACCACTGGAAAAACTTTGTTTCAGTTTCCAAATTTTTTTTTTTAACGCAGCATTTGAAAATAATTTATTGAAAAATTATTTTGAGTAACTAATTAAAAACTATTTAGAAAAACATGGATATAGTGAAATAATTTTTGGTTTTTTTACAAAAATTAAGTGATTTTTTTACTTTAAAAATTTACGCTTAAATTTCAGTATTATAAAAAGAATCATATTAACATTTTTTTTAGTTGTGTATTTTTAAACATATTCAATTTTTTAAAGTTGGTCAATTAAGGACCACCCTAATATGTAATGAATGAGACAATTGAAATAAGAATTAAAATTTAAAAGCCACTATTAATTTTAAACAAATAACATGCACAAATTAACTAATTAATAAAACAACATGCTAATTTGTTATTATTGCGAATTTATATTACCGAAAAATTACTAAATATATTTTAAATGTTACCATAACAATGTTACCCTTAACAAGAAAATAATATTTTTGAAGCAGATTTTCAATGATTATTATGTGTATAAAGAAAGTACTTAAGCTACTAAAAATAAAAGTAATAATAATAGTAATTATAAATACTTTTGGGTCATTGTTACTTGATGTTCCAGCTGAATTCGTAAGTGTGATAAATACACACACAGAATAAAGAAATATTCCAAAATAATAGTAGAAACACATTTTTAATGATTATTATAATTGTAGCAGAAATGAAAGTTTAGGACTGACAATTTGATTTTAATAATATGAGAAAACACGAAAAATAATTTTTATTATTAAATTGATTGCGTTTATAAAGACCAATTTTAAATAATCTAAAATATGATAAATATCAATCTATTTTTTAAAATCCCATATTTTAATTGTAAGCGTTTAGTATTTCACTTGTTTTAATAAAATATAATTGACATGTTTACATATGATGACGTTAGTAAAAATTATTCCAAATTATTGCATCAAATAACACTTGTTTTTAAATAAATACAGATAATAATTTAAATTTTAACCATGAATAATTTGTCTTTAAAATGTTCCAATTTTATTAATAGGGAAGTGCGAAGCAAGTTGACATTTGTACAAGGTGGTCTTCTTGACTTAAAAACTATTAGTAATGTTTGCAAACTTTAAATAGAAATATTTTTGAAAATAATTAATTACGATAAAATACGACAAACACATGTGTTTGATTTGAATCACACTTATAACATATTTTTTGTTAGAAAGACTATCGTTGTTTTATGGCGTATTGTTTTAACTTAAATGTGAATAAAAAATAAAACATTTTTATTACAATAACTGATGAAAATCATCTCGAATAAAATGTATTTGAAAATTTAAGTTTGATTCAAAATTCAGAAGTACATGGGAGATTTTTAATAAAAATAAATTTTTGAAAGTTAATTCTTGTCGCTATTTATCTATGAAATTTTTAGATATTAAATAATTTGATTCTAATCAGTTGAATTAGCTCAATTACTAGACAAAATAAACATAATAATTATTTAGGGCATATCTTGAGGTTCGATTTCTTCATTTAAATTTTTTTACTCTTTATTTTTATTCATATACTTGGTAGAACAATTAAAAATTGTATAGCGCATCCAACATTTTAAAGGGAGACAGATGGTGACACCTTAATCAGGAAATACATCTACAATAAATTGATTAATCATTACACAAATTAAGTTAAAGTATATGAACTTACCAAACCATACATTCGAAATTTATTTCTTCAATATCTATCACCTAAAATATAAATTTTTAAAATACTTCAGTAGTTTTATGAAATTACAATATGAATTCGTAATACATTATTTTTATGTATATATAGAACTGTTGCAATTATTCTGATAAAGTTAAATTGCTAAAGAAAACAAAAAAAATTTTAATTACGTAAAAAAAAACCCAGCTCAGGGGGGTCGTGGCACAGTGGTGACAAGGCGTAGTTGGATCAAGTATAATGATATCTGACAGTGATTAAAATCACTATAAAAAAAAAACGCTTCGATGCAAATCGTTAGATAGTGTTTAATTTTAAAAAATTGGTGGGTTATTCCAAAAGCTTCATAAACTGCTAGTTCCTTATTAATATCCTGATTAAGATAAAGTATGTCGAATGAAAAAGGGATTATTAAAAATTAGTATTTCCCATAAAAAAATTATATTCATCAATACACTTTTCAATAAGTTATAGCATTATAAAGTTAAAAATGTAAAAAATAAAATTGAGAATTTTCACACAATAATAGCATTTGGTAGCCATTTTCACCGTGAAGACAAAATAAAGTCCGAAATTTTTTTTTACATAATAAAGTAGATTACATTACCTTTAATTTAATATATATATAAAAGTGTCAGACTTTCTGGAACACTTTCAAAATTCAAGTTGAAAAAGTCAATTTTTTGTGAAAAAGTTGTCATTTAGAATCCCCTCCTGTAGGCAGGTAAAAAGTCAGATTTATAAAAAAAATATACCAAATGATAGGTAATGACATCATGCATCTATAAAAAAAATAATTATATTNCTCAATACTCTACATGTTATTTAAGAGTTTTTTGAATTAAACAATATTTTCCTTACCAAAAATTAAAAATTTTCAATAGTTACCGAGAAAATGAGTGTCTTATTTTAAATGAATCATCCTGTATATACCCCATTCAACTGACATACTTTTTTTAGCTTCGATGCGAAGCTGAGAAGGTATTCATTTTACTATATGTTTTTTTTTATATTTTTTTTTTTGTGTCTGTTACTACTTTTTCTCAGCTCTCGCCAAAGCGATTTCTTTCAACGATACATCAAAAGATCACAAATNTAAATTTGTAAGTTTTTGGAGGTTTGTCCCTTTTAAGGGGAACAAGAGAAATTTTTTCAATTTTTGAGGGCAATGTCTTCGACTAGATACGATTTGTGATCTTTTGACGTATTGTTGAAAGAAATCGGATCGGTGAGAGCTGAGAAAAAGTGATAACAGACACAAAAAAAAAAAAAAACACATCATAGTAAAATCAATACCTTCTCAGCTTTGNTGTCGAAGACATTACCCTCAAAAATTGAAAAAATTTCCCTCGTTCCCCGCAAATGGAGGGAATATCCAAATAAATTACAATTTTTAAAATCGGTAAATTTTGTCATTTTTTTCACTTTTTTTCTTAAAACTTCCATACCTTTTTCAAAAATCAACAAATCAACATAATTTTTTTTTATATTAAACCCTTGGATATTTCCTCTTTATTTGATATCATTTTTTTGAAAATCTTACGCTTAACCTTCTCACTGGGGGGAGATTTCAAATATCAACTTTTTCACAAAAACTAACTTTTTTAACTTAATTTTTGAAAATATTCCGGAAATACTGCGTCCTTTAAACATATACCAAATGAAAGCTTATGTCATGTACTATGAAAAAAAATTTGTCCCTACACCTTATTGTCTATGAGTAAATTGCCACCGAAATTAAACAAAAATTTAATATTTGCAAAAAAAAATCGGCTGCTATCGTGTGTTTTTTGTATTTAAAACTACCATAACTTATTGAAATATTAACAAAAACAAAATAATATTTTTTTATATTGAAATCTTAGGTTTTTATTCTACTCCAGGGGGGAATTTAAAATAGTAACTTTTTTACAAAAACTAACTTGTGAAAATGTTCCGTAAATATTCACAGTTTTATATAATCTTAAATTACAGCTTATATTATATATTACACTTTATAATGTGTAACATAATAAAATTATCATGAGTATAAGGTCACAGGTAACTATATTCAAACAATGCGCGGCGTATATCTGTAGGGTCAGTGTTACATATATACACATGATTATTCACTGTACAAGTAATTTTCCTTACCACCTGTGATCCTCGTACATATCATTTTATACCACATTATAATGATCATACTGGCACATACCTTTTCCTATGTGTTATCGAGCCGGTTTAGGAAAGTACAGTTACGTTCAAAAGAAAAAAAAATTTCTCAATCATCATCATTCTCTGCTTCTTCTTCGACTGGAATCACCATCTAATCAATTTTTTATTGTGATGTTGGATTTTACGAATCCGTTATGGAAGAGTAATTTTTAATTTGGCTTGACCATCAAAATGGCATCAACATCATACACTTGCGTCTTGGACATCTCAACATCTTAATGTAATGTGGTATATTTTGTTTTTTATGTATTTTGTTTTGCACGGTGTGCATATATAAATTAATTTATTGTTTATTTATGAATCAGCTAACTATTTCGTCATATTTTTTTTATTTAGTTAATGACTATATAAATTGTCACCATGGAATGAAATTAGGCTGTATGGTCAATCCTTTCTGTTCCTTAGTTTTTCTTCTTTCACCATTCGTGAGCTGACAGGTCCTCGGGTGTGGTCAGAGTGGACACGGTGAACAACTCAACGGGTCCCCTACATTTATGTAGAGGAGTCCCATTGACGTTGGTGACATGTCCATTTTACCCTTACCCATGCGTTGGATTTGTCACGATACTTTTATTCTGTTGTTTTTTTTTCTTTCTTGAAACGGACATCGAAGCACAAGAAGCCCGCAACCTGAGACATTCGTACGTACAAGCGTCACGCGCGTTGCTACCACGAATGTGTAGTACGGGTTGGCAAGACGAACATTATCCGCGCACTCATACATATGAGAACGAGCCGACCGATTTCTCGTTTACGCGCCAACCATGAGGAGGGGAGTAATTCAAAACAACCGACGGTCGTCGGTCTTTTAATGATTTGTCGCCTACCCGCAGCTGGCGGTCTGTATTGGTACCTTACCACGACCTGCGCACCGTATGCGTCTGCTTGCCTGAATATTACGGGAGAAACGAAGAGGACCCACGGGAGTTTCTAGAAAGAGCGGAGGATCTACTCTGTCAGGGCGGTATACACCCAACGGCATGGGTGAATATCGTCGTCGCGTTTCTGAACGACAGGGCAGATTAAATTAAACAATATGCCATGGACGAAATTTAGGTCCGAATTACTCGAGTAGTTTGACAATATCGACATCCGGACAGCGCTTGAGACGGACTTAAAAACGACGCGACAGGGCCCCCGACAAACGTTAACTGAATTTATCATTCATAAAAAACGTTTGGTCGCGCGAGTACGTTGTGGGTTACCAGAACAACAACTTGTGCGACAGTTAACGGGGCTTTTACGGGACGATTACCGCGCTATGATACGGTTAATGCACCCAGCGTCTTTCGCCGATCTACGTGAGAAAGCACACGACGTAGTTAAGACCGCGGCTCTTCGGTATGTTCCATCAGCGCCCCGACAGTCAGCCAAACTGCCTCCGCGGCAAACCGCTCAACCAGCGAGCGGGTTATGCGGAAGCACCGCCAACCCCGTGCCGATATTGCGGCGAGCGACACTGGCACCGCCAGTGCCCAATCAGACCGTTGGTATCGGGAAACGGCAATCGGGTAGGAGAGAATTAGTCCAACCCCCCAGCCAAAAACAGATCCAAACAGGGCGCAACGTTTTAAACGACGTTTCATTTAAAACGCGCCTTGCCACTACGCGATTTTTATCCGGTGAAAACATATTACGCATCACGACCGTCGCGCAGAACACCGAATCTAACGGCCCTTACGATTTACATGCCGCCAACGATCTTGGCAATATTTCGGCACCGCACCCCTCTTATCGGAATGGAGGGTAAGCCGCGGTAAATTCGGATATAATCAAGGTATCGGAGTTCGAGCACACTGCCGACACGACCGACAATTGCACGAGTCAGGTGTTAGAAATTTTTTCGAGCAGCGCGGTTAAGAACCAGCTGCCCCCCGTTCGAACCGTAAACCAC